GAGCCCGGCCCACAGCCAGCAGCCAGGGGCCGGGGCCTGCCAGGGACCAGCCTACATGCACCGGCTCCCAGCCCCGCCCCCAGGGAGCCCCTGCCGCCCGCACTCAGAGCTCTGCCCAGAGCTGGCACCATGCGGTACGCCCACCCCGACTTCTCCCCCTCGCCCGGAGCTTCACTGTCCTTACAGTTAGAAAGGTCCCTCGGGTCCACCCCACAGCTGCCTTGCTGCAGGTCACGCCTGGACAGAGACCAATAGATCCCAGTCCTCTTGGTAACAAACCTTCCCCCCCTCTGAAGACTGTCCTCAGTCCCCCTTCCTCTTAACCTTTCCACGGGGGGTCAGGTTGGTTCAACCGCTGATCATTTTGGTTACTCTCCTCTTCGTAAGACAGAGATCTCACAGAAGAAACGGCTGCTCACGGGGCTTTGTTCAAAGCAAACTACAACACCCAGTCCTGCCCAAAGTTCCCTCTAATCTGGTCCATCCCGTGTGGAATAAATTTTTGTCTGTGCACTGAGGCATGTGCACCACCAATAGGAACACAAAACTGTGGGTACTCTGCTAACCAGCTGGGCAGCATTCAAATTTCTCCTGAGTGGCCGCACAAGCACACAGGGGTCACCGGTCCCATCTTCCTTGGGTCCCCCAAAGTCACCCACACATGCCCCTCCTGTACACTGCTTGCAGATTGTAAGATCTTTGGGGCCTGCAACTAGGTTACTTTTGTGTTTATAAAGCACCTAGCTCAAGGCCATCCCAGTCTGGATCGGAGCATCCAGACACTTATGGGGTATTTGGGAAAGGCACCACGGGCTAGCTCCTTGCTGTACCTTTGGGGAAAAAAAATCAACCCCTGAGGCTGATTAATCCTTAATTAACAAGAATAATGGGACCCTATCCAGATTGATAGAACTTTTGCCATAAGGCAAAAGGGCCCAAAGAGATTAAGTGACTTGCCCATGGTCAAATAGCAAGTTAGCAGGAATAGACCCCCCGGGACCGCTGACTGCCACACCTAAGCTCTAACCCCTGGACCACGCTACCTCCAAGGAAAACGCTTTATACGACCTGCTCAATAACTAACTAACTCTGCCCCGTGGGGTGGGACTATCGCGTGTCCATCGCCGGATGCCAGCCTGGCTCGCGCTGGGATCAGAGCCCCGCAGTGCGGTGGTAGAGCCCACCCCTTGAGTGCGTGCAAGCTGCACGGCTGCTGTGGGGCAGGTGGCACGTGCACTAGGGTCTGCACCAAGGCAGCGACCCCCGAGGCTACCGTGCCCATGCAGACGAGCCCTGGGGCGGGGGGGAGGCGTAACGGAGGAAGGAACCTTGAACTGGGCTTCCGGCGGCCCGGTGATGATAACCATGCGCACTTTGGAATCCGGGGTCTCGGGAGGCGCGATCTGAAAGGGAGAGGAAAGGCAGCTGGAGGACAGAGGCAGGGGGCAGCAAGCGTCCGCCGCCTGCTCTTGTGAGTCGACCCTTCCCGCGGCATTACGCAGAACCAGCCCGAGGGCGCGGCCGGCTCTGAGCTCCCCAATCCACCCCTCTCCCCTGCTATTAAATCTGCACGACTGGGACAGGCAGAGTCCTGGGCAGAATCGTCTCCGCAGTTAACCCGCTCCCAGGGCAGAAAGCTGCCGTGAAAAGTCCTTTGGAAACACCCCTCCCCGCTGGGAATTCTGTTCACCCCAGGCAGGGCTGCTGCACGAACGGGCTGCAAAGCGTCACTGCAGGGGCCAAACAAGCCCTGTCCCCCGGCCCCCTGGTGCAACGAGTCTGTCGGGCCTCAGCCCCGTTCCTAGCAGACGCAGGGCAGAAACCACGGGTGCTGGTCCAGGTTGAACCTCTAGCCCGGCACGCTCTGGTCCGGCAACATCCGTGGTCCGGCGTCACGGGAGTCAGCCGCTTGCCCACGCAGCACAGGGGTGGCCAAGTTTCCGGCCGCCCCAGTTTCCGGCCGCCCCATAAAGTGTGTTTACAGCCCCCAGGCCTGGCTCTCAGGGTTCTGCGCTGCTATTTAGCTCTACTCTACCCCTCAAGGCCTTTCAAGAGCCCAGCAAGCGGTGGCCGTGTTGGAGATGCTGCCGGACAATATTGACCTCCGTGGTCCGGCAAATTCTCTGGTTCGGCACCGGCCAGGTCCCCAGGGTGCCGGCCTAGAGAGGTTCAACCTGCAGGAATTGGCTCCGGTGCCGATGACCTCAGCAGCGCCCCAGGGCCGTGAGGATGGAACACGAGAGCACCAGGGAGTCGCCTCCGTCCTGGGGAGAAGCCTTCCCAGGGCAGCCCGCCC